TTATTTTCAATAAGGCCTAAAGGATAATTATTTTCTAGGAATATATTTGTCAGCTGTTCTAACTCTTTAGCTGGCCTGTGACCCAAGGGCACTCGTGGCAATGTGGCCGAGTGGTTTACGTGTCAATCTCACATGCTGCACTGTCAAAGTTCGACTCCCGCTGAGGGTTTTGATTAGACCGATGCGAGGTCGAAACTGCAATCCACTTCCGACTGGATGATAACAACTTTTGGGTAAGCGAGGCTCTGTGAAATTGAATGGAAACGTCAGCTCTACTCATATCATTGTGGGAAAATTATTCTTCTACCAGTCCTTCATCACCTTAAACGAAATAGTGTTGGTAGTGCTGGTAGTCTCGAAACTCTACTTCGTTACGAAAAATGGTAGTTGAAATGCCTAACCTTCAGTGAAATTCACATCTGCCCTGAAACTCAAGGGCACTCGTGGCAATACGGCGTAGGAGTTAATGCGTCGAGATTATACGCTGAACTGTCATGGCTCGAGTCCCGCTGCTGGTGCTGAAGAGACTAAGTCGGGGTCGAAACTCCTTCTTCGGGGTGAATACCATTTAGGAAAGTAAGACTTTGTGAAATTCAATTAAAATGTAAAGTCTGTTCATATCATTGTGGGTTAATTCGACTACTCGTGCCTTTATCATCTTAAACGAAATAGGATGAATACATCTCATATCTTGCTTTCTTTCTAATTGAACAAATGTTTTTATTTTCAAAGCATACTCATGCTGGGCAAGTTAATGTTTTCCTTTTCCACAATTCTATCTCTAATATGCCTTGATAGTCACATCCGGCCTGTAGCCCATTGTCACCCGTGGCTACTTTGTGGTACGGTATTGTATGATACGATGCATTTTATTTGTTTTTGAATCCTGTCGGTGATGTTGATGCGACTTAGGCGGGTTCGAAACTTTAGTCAATCCTGAATTAAAAAACAAATTTGGGATATAGGACTTATCGAAATCCAGTGGCTTTTGCGGTCCCTTTTTACCACAATTCTGTCAGTCGGACATTAAATCCCCATTCAGCTATATTTAGAGTGACTGAGTTCTTTTCTAGCTTCATTTATTTTTCATTCCAAAAAACTAATGAACATGACTAGCCAATGAATTATTTATCCTCGAATGTTGTACTATCCCTCTGAAAAACAAATTAAGCAACAGTCTATCCTTAGTCTAATTGAAGATTGATTGTATCTGCTAAGCTTAACAACTATTTGTCGCATTTATTTGTGTATCATCTGATTACTTTAACACTGAAAAGTGTACATTTATGAAGAAACCAATAGCAATGATACTTAGAACTGTCCACATGTTCTCTATTATGGGAAAAAACATGAAAACCAGCTTTGAGAGCCAGCTACTATGAGGATCAGCTGAAGGGAAGGTCGGCATATATTGTCACATTTCCATCTTCACGATTGTGATTGGCATCAAAATCACGAATATATCGCAACTTTCCACCCCTTCAACTCTGCTGAGACAACCTCGAATTGACGGAACTAAGAATATAGTGTATACGAAAAAGGTATGTTTATCTCCCACTAAGGATGTATTCTTACTTGATTCTCCCTTAACGCCCGTAAGAATTGTAAACAGCGATTGAAATTAACCTCTGCACTACCAATTGCCAATACGATAGTAGAATGACATCAATGCATTGCATTTTTCTGGCCTCTCTTAAAATGTAGATTAAAGGCGCATAATAAACCAATTTATGTGTACTTTATCGAGTAGTTTGAGCAAATATTCATAGCTTTGTAAAAATACTGCTTATATTCCATTTTTACATCCAGCTCGAGGGAAACCTGACTGATGGATGTACTCTGGAAGAGGCCCTTCACTTCATTCACACATCGCCGATGCCGATTAGTCTTCTGCTCAACCGAAATCTGCAGAATTATCGAGCATTTCTGGAAGGTCAGTCTTCTAATGACAATTTTTATGTGCGAGCCAACTTCAACTTGGCAGCAACTAGAGACCTGGAAACCATGCCACCGCTGCGAGGCGGCCCATTTATGCCAATTAGGAAAGGTGACATATTTCAGATTGTCAATAGTCTGCCGGATGATACGTCTGGGGTATGGATAGTAAGTATTAATGCTCCAGATTACTTATTCGTTATAATTTCTTGGTCGAGTAGCAATTAGGATACCGTTTTGGTTCCCTTTTACGATCAGCTCAAATGATATATATGCCTTTTAGTTTTAAAAGTATGAAAGTTCAAAACATGCCTGTACATAAGCATTTTGTACTAATTATCTAGTGATCTCCTCTTTACTGGCCACAACAGTTTATCTTTGGTTTGGTTAAAGAAATTCCTTCTTGATTTTGACTCTCTGGCTTCTGAGAAAAAGGGTTCCAGGTAGCAATAGACTTCCTTTATTAGAACTGGGTTGACCTCTTTGTCGCAACTTGGTCTTGTTGTCAGGGAGACTACGTAGAACACACATAGTCCGAAGTCGTCTGCCATAGTAGTGGTCATGATTCCCAGCATCTGATAATGGACTTGATACATTCTCAAGTCTACTGTCAGATTCCGGGAATCATGACAACTACTATGGCAGACGACTTTGGACTATGTAAGTTCTACATAGTCTCCCTGACAACAAGACCAAGTTGCAACAACGAGGTCAACCCATTTGTATAAATCGAAAGGAGACTGCAACCATAACAGAGGCCACAACATCTTGCTCTTAATATATTCATTTATAAGGCTTTAATTGTTATCGTTAATGAGGCTTGAAGGGTAACTGGGTTTCGATTATTCTCCTAAGATAATATTATTGCTTTGACTTTTATTTCGTATAAATGTGTATGAAGAAGAGATTCGAAGGTCAATCTCATCAGAAGAGGACAGCCGAATCCCGTTATATTGCAGACATTTGGACTGTGTCAATCTAATTGTCGTATAAAAGCTAAACGGTTGCAGTAAAAAAGGATTCAACCGTCTTCTTCTGGTGAAATCGACCTTTGTATCTAGTCTTCATATACTTTCATACAAAATGAAAGTCCAAGCAATGAATTAATAAGGTTTCCGAAGATTGTAACAGATTTTAATCATTGGAGCAGAATATCTTTTTAAGTAAGAATGTACAAATCCAGCTGCTTAAATTTTCCATTAGCCCGACTTTTCTGTCACTAGATTGAGTTAGAAATTTGTCTTTCCGTTTGGCATAAATCACCAGTTCTCTTTCATACTTTTTGCAAACTTGCCGACACTACGGCTCAGAACTGTGGTTTGAGTATTCTTTAGTACTTTGCTTGCTTCTTCCAAAGTGCTGGTGCGTCTTTTGTGCGGCATTCAGGTTATAGCATTATTATTGGTCCAACTCCTTTGCGTACTATATTCTTTGTCTTATTATTTTATTGTAATACTTTATCTCTCAGCGTCAGCCACAAGTTGCTGCAAGAAGCGGTTCTTTGTTGATGAGCAAACACTGAAATACAAGCATGTGATTGAGTCTTAGCTCTTTTTCTGGTTGACCTATTTATATTTAAGTGTCATAAGCCAGACTATGCTGGATAGTTTTTAAGTTATTTGGTATGTTTTATTTGTTCTATTCACCAAGATCTAAAGCTCATAGGATTATTTATGAAGCTAGAATTTCCAGACTTCAAAGTGGTATGCGTGGCTGCTATGAATAGGTCAGCTTCCCCTATGACTTGAACTATCCTCTAAAGAACTATATGATCTTCCACTATTAAGCCACTATTTACAAAAATATTAAAAAGGCTTATCATTTCACTATAAAATGACTTAAAAAGCAATTTAAATAAACATGCTCAAAGATGCTGCCATAGCTACTTCAACTCTGCATTTTATTCTTGTGGCTCCATAAATTTTGGAGTTTACCTGAAGCACCAGTGAGGAACCTATCTTTCATATTTGAAGTGTGTATTCTTGCTCAATTCCTCTTTTAATTCTTCATAAACACACACTTTGGTACGGAATGCTTTCAGTTGGCTTAAACAAAGTGAATTGGGTCATATGTCTTCCTTCCACCCCCGGGAAATAAAAAATGGTCCTCAATTCTTCATTTTGTGCTAAAAATACTTCGCTACCTTTTCCGAAGCAAATACTTCGTCTTTTTCTCATTTTTTATTGGAAAATCTTATGAAATTTGCATCTTAGGACGAAAAAAGATTTAGCTTGGAATTTCTAAAAGTGTGTTCGCCCATACAGGTTGTACTACCGAGGACTGCTCAGCTTTGACTGACGATTTTGTGCAAAATTCTACTTTTACAATAAATCTTATTTTTCAAAGCCTTTTTTACTAAGCACATACACAATTCCAGTCTAATATAGTTCTAGAA